AGATAATTCGATTTACATTCAAATTACCTCAAAAGAATCACCAGCATATACGAGCAACCACCAAACATATGATGGAGTCCAACAACAAAAGAAAATGATCACCACAACGATTAGCATTCTAGAAATTTCTATATAGCGAGCGTTCAAAAAGAAACCAATCATTTATCTCTTTTTCAGCGCACGATCAGCATCTACCTTATCACACGTTGTTTAGCTATAGCACTTTTTTGCCTGTGTGTAGAGCGGAGACTATTTCCCAATGGTGGAATATCATTTCGCGTTCTCATTGCGGCCTCCCTGAAAATCGGGATGGTGGCGAGTGTTCTAAATAGGAACTGTACTGTTTTTTTTTGAGTCAGATATTCACGAGTTCATATGGAATCATAAAAACGGTAGGTGATGGGTGGCAGATTGATAGCTTTTAACACTACCTTGTTTTCACGGATAATTTGTGGAAGAATGACATTCTCTGCTTCTGGTCATCGTTGTTCTCATCGATGCTGTCTGCAAAATAATTCAACTCTCCCTGATTCTCTCACAGCCAAAAATTGGAGAAACAGAGAAATACCAGAGCGTTTGCTTTCTTGATCCACCAAGTCGAGAGCGGCTATTTCTAGCCGTATACCAAGCCTAAGTGAGCGGATTACAGATCCATATAGCACCGTCATGATCACCAACGGAATCGCTAGCAGTACAATGGTCAAATACACCTAAATGCTATAAATTTAGTCGGGTCAATGTCATAAGTTCGTTGAATTATTAGTTAAAAAAAAGAGAATTCCATAAGAATGCTGAGCACTCAATCAATAATCGATTATTGGTTGAATTACCTGATTAGCAAGTTGATAGATAGGTTTGAAGGTTGATGCGCATGTCAACCCATTGCCATTATAAGTCTGTTCTTCGTACATGAATAACATAAGGACATTGGCTGCCAACGCAATTACCCATACCAACATGATCATAGCGTATGCGTGAGACCTTTAAATATCGGTGAGACATTTATTAGGAAAATTATGGATCTGCTTTAAAAGCAGCCCAAATTGTTGGAAAGAGTACAGGGCAACGAAAATAATGTGGTGTGTCAGAGCTCCAAGAGAAAGAGGAAAGGAATAAACTGAGCCATCTGTATAGAAGTTGAAAGTTAAGGGTTGAATATTGGTTGTAATGATCGAAGATAGTTCTAAAGAATGGAATGAATGAGTTAGCGAATGGACGACTATATAACAAAAAGGAATGGAAGAGGATTAGAATTATTATGTTTTGTATGCTTACTTGCGTTATCTACACATAGCCCCAAAAAACGCTTTTGATCGTTAATAGCTCCGTCACTTCCGAAGCTGCATTAAACCATTTAAAGATTAGTCATTTAATTCGAGTTCCGACGTTACGGTAAGCGCCAAATGGCAGCGCTAAAGCCCTCTTGATTTTGTACCGTAATCCTATTACAACATTAAAGTTAGAAAATCTGTCCATCAGTGGGAATCCAAGTTTACATGATCTTTCAAAATGACTCATCAAGGCAGAAAAGAGCGGAAATTGGGGAGATATCGAATAGTGATCACATTTTCTGAGGCTATCTGTTTT